AGACTGATCATGTTACCACATCTGCGGGCGCAGGCGCAGTGACCCTCCGCACCGCGAAACCCAGCCAGTGCAATTGCTTCCTTCTGGTTTAGGATCGAGACTACGCCGGCCCCAACACTACCAAAGTATCAGAACCAAAGAGAAAAAAAAAAGTTGTTGCTTTGAAAACAAGAAAGTATATTGTTTTAACAAACTATTGGTTAAGACAGATACATTCAAATTAACGTTTGGAACAGAACAGCTTAAATCTCTGATCTTCAAAATGCAATTACAGAAACATTAAAGCAGGTTTTTGCCAGTCAATCAATGTAAAAAAGACACCAAAACACCAGAAAACCTCAAAATAAAAACTTCCTGCAGAGTTAAACTACAAGCTTGTTTGAAACTGCCAGAAGTGCCAGCAAAAGGCGTAATTCAATGCACTGAAACCCTGCCCCTCTGTAGCTCACTGTTAGGCATGAAGTTAGCCTCTCCCGCACTTTTCTGGACACCCAGCTACTCCATGCAGCAGCAGATGCTTCAGACCATTCAGTTTCCAAATTTTCACCTGAAACCCCCGAGGCAGCCAAGGATGCCCGTTAAGGGAAGGATTAGCTAAGACAATAGACCAGGCTAATGTTTCCCTCCCCTCACACAGAATGAGTATTCACACAAAAACCCCAGAGCTAGACCAAATGCCAAGATAAGGCAGGACATTTTAGACCTGAGTAAGGTGGGGAAAGTTATTGATGTCCTACCAGTCAGACACAACCTTTTACCATTCCTTGTGCAAAGCGCTCAACCGAGGTGACTCAGAGAAAATATGCAAAACTCAGGCTAGTTCAGCTTCCTCTGCTTTGCAGCTCTGTACTCCCGTTCTTCGGCGAAGACTGCCAAATCAGAGGGGAAATGGAGCCAAACACTCCAAATATAAACACGAAGAGGCAAGCGTTGCAAAAAGTCTGATGGAGCTAGCAGGCCCCAGTACGGATGCAGTGTACCTCTCCCAGCACAGCTTGTGGGCTGATCCAGCAGCTAAGGGAAGCCTTTTTGCTGGGCAGTGCCATCCAACTGGTACTGTCTGTTTACTGTAAGGGGCAGCTGGTCAGCTTTAGGCAACTCGGGTCACTTTGCCATGCTAGCAGCGCGCGATTTCTAAGAGGGAACGGCAGCATTCAGCGAGGTTAGCGATTTTGGGCTCCTCCAACCAGAAACTCAGGCAGTGAGACTTTAAAAAAAAAAAAAAAAAGAAAAAACAAACACAAAACTGTTCTGTGTCAGTTCTCCCTCCTGTTGTCGCTCCCCTCCCCCAGCTTGTTAACTAAACTTTTCCTCTCCCAGGGATCTTTCTAATCCTTCTGCGAAGCTGTAATGAATTTGCAACATCAGTCACTTTGCAAACTGACTTCAACGTGAATCAAGTTTACCACAAGCTCAAGAAAATACAGGGAATTCTAACAATCACATAGCCAGGAGGAGGATATAAATGAAGAAGAATAGAAGTAGTACTGGAAAATTGGTTTTCAATCATGTAAAGAAGGAGCGTACATCGTTCCCAGGGGCCTGGGTTAAGGCAGAACATCAGAATGAAAATGCACACTGCACCACCACCCAAAGCAGCATATTATGGGCAAACAGCATAACCAGAAGCAGACTTAAGAGCTAAAAATCCTGCGTTCTGTTTTCAAGAATTATTAAGGACAGAAAAAACCCTCTCTGCAGATTCAAACCTGAAGAGAGTCACCTGACTACGATATTAATCGAAGTATGCTGAAACTACGTATCTGGAAGGGATTTTACACTTTCCTGCATCCCTCCCACCAAGCCAGTTTATCTCCAGCCAGGCTGTAACCCTCCCAGTCCACGGACACTTACAGCACCTGTAGGAGTTTTACGCTGAACTAGCGATGGAGCTGCGAGAAGAGCTGACACCCTGACAGATGAATTGGGAAGGCACTTCCACCCACATTAATTCAGGAGAGCAGTCGTTCCCACAGTGTATCAACAAAACTTGTTATTTGCCATCGAGACGTGTAATACTATCAGACTTGGAAAGTTTTGGGGTTTTGGCCGAGCGCCTTCTGTTTTCTGCGGAAGACAACAGGTTTAGGTACTAAACTGAAGCTAAAGCAAACTGCCGAGGTTTGAGAACCACACACTTACCTAATGGAGCAACTCGCTCACTACAGGTTTAAACAACACAATACAGAAGAGCCTTCTGTAGACAGGAAGAAACAAAAGTAGTTTATGGGCCACTGAGCTGGGTTAACTCCTGGCTTGGTCTCCAGCCTACTGCGTCATTTGGGCTGATCACACCCTTGTCATTCATTTTCTTTCATAATATGGCCTCTCCTGTACAGCTTTAATCAACTGACTGCAAATCCTAGACCAATTAAGAGCTGCTCTTATTATTTCTTTTTTTTTTTTTTTTTTTTGCTATATTGATAATAAATGCAATCTGGTACTGAAGTTTACAATAAATATTTGAAGAACAGTTAAGCTGTCGACACAATTCATCTAGTATGCCCCAGCAGTATATTTAAACTGCTATTCAAATGACTTAAAACAAGCATTGCATTACAGCTGCTATCCTTTAAATAAAAAAAGGAGGCAGAAAGGAAGTTGCAAGTGCTGCCTTCATGCCTAAGTTTCTATCCAGAACAGAAGTTTACTTTAAGCAAGGTGTAGGAGGTAAAGGGGAGAAAACACGAAAACAAAACCTGAGCATCCCTTTGAAACACCCTGGTTCGCTTGAAGGCCTTGACGGAGCGACGGACAGAGGTCCACGAGCAGGGAGGCAGAACTGGGTCCAAGCCGGTGGCCTCTGGGCCGCTGCGCCCCTCCAGACTGTGTCACCTCCAGCAGCAGGGTCTGGGCTGCTCTCAAAACGAGATACCCCAGGGAAGGCAACAAATGAAGTGAGGTGTCATCAGAATTGCCCCTTCCACTTCTGTTCTGAAGGGTGACTAGTTAGCCACAGATTATCTTTTTATAGCTATAATGCAACTAACTCCAGTACAGCCAAAGCTTTACAGGCATCTGATTTACATGGCTGTTTCCCCTCACCCACTAAAAGAAACTTGCCAATTTAAGCCACGAAATTTAGCCAGATTTAGGCATGCACAAAGCGGTTTCATTTCCAGTTGGGACTAACTAGGACTCAGAATCAACCAGTAAACTCTACAGCATTAGTCACAGCTCTTCCATCTCAAAATACAAAGTTTCAGCCATCGCTCCAGCCTCCTTAAAAGAAAGCTCAGGGTGTGTTTGGCAGCATCTGAAAGTGAACACTGACTTTTAAGCAACTATGCCCGACAGAAGAAAAAAAAAAAAAACACCCTGAAATTACAGCCGGACAAGAAATAATACTAATTAGTGTCCTCCTAGTAAATATGAGAGGATCTGCACCACCACCACCAGTAGCACTTCCTCAGGGCAGGAGGGATGATGTCATGGCTGCACGCTACAGCATTGTCGGGTTCGTCTGGCTACACGCTGCTAACGGGACACTCCCTACAGAACTGTGACCGCACAGGCAGTTTTCTTGATATCAGCAATCAGTTTAATAAGTGTTCAGAGACCTGCAATTACCATATAAACACAGTATAACCACCAAGAAAAGAGAAAAAAAAAAAACCACAAGAGGGGAAAAAAAAAAAAAAGGCAAAGAGGAGACAGCTGTAACAGGGTGGCAAACAAAGCTCCAAAGCATGAAAGAGAGAAAGGAATGTGGTTAAAAAATCTCCCCTAAGGAAGAATACTCTGTACGCCCGAGCTCCAGCTGTTTGACTTGCCCCGCTCCCTCCTCCACTCCATTATCCACTCTGGCTGCGCTAATTTAAGACAAACCGCCCGCCTGTGTCAACTGTTGAAGGGGAGATTCGGGTAAGGCAGCCTCGGATGTGCCTGGGCTCCCCGTGCAGAAAGGAAAAAAAAACTTTAGGGCGGAAAGTTCAGGTGCCTTTGGCGGGTTGCTTTGTGCCCGAGAGCTTAGGAAGCTGCAAGAGCCCTTCCCGCTGCAGCCTCTACCGACTAGAGGTTTGCCACCGCCTCCACACGCTCCTCGGCTCCCACACGGCACCCAGATTTGCATGCAGAAAGATCTGCCCTCATCAACAAAGCCACGCAGCTCCCAGCAAGAGGACCCGAGTGCCCCCCAATTCATGGCAGTCACTCCCACAGATGAGACGAGCGGGTCTGAAGAGTCAGGAGGAAGGAAAAAAAGGAGGGAAAGGAATAAACCCGGCCAATTTTAAAGTCTGGAGGCCTGGATTTCCGCAGGGAAGGTATTTTTCGCGTTTGAGATACTGGGGGAGCGCTGTGAGGGTTTGGAAGTCATATATGCAGCCAAAATGGCGCTGAGAATAAAAATATAATTTAAAGGAAGGTCGCCATATTGTAAACAGTGAGGCAGGGAGACACAGAGACAGCAACCTCCATTATTCCCAGCAGCTGCAGCAGCACGGAAGCGCTGGGAACGTCAAGGCCTGGTGCAGAGACGCCACCGCCGCTTCCCCTCGGCTCTGGCCAGGACCCTCCGGAGGGCCCCCCCGCCCCCCAAACAACGCACCCTTAGAGAGGGGTGAGGAGGGGAAGTTATCCGCTCCGAGGGGGGAGAGGGGAGGAGGAGGGGGAAGGCCGGGTAGGGCCAGCACCAAAGCAGG